TAGACTGGCTCTTTCTAAGTAAACACCATGCACGCCCAGTCCAGTTTACCTTCTAACGAAAGTAAATTTGTTCAGGATCTTGACCGGATTATATTTAATCATCTCAGCCGTCTCCATTTTTCCCTCGTGAGTTCAGTTTTCAAGTACAGGTGCCTGGAAACTTTGACCGTCTCAGTTTTAGATTAAACATTCTCATGGTTGGGTGTTAAGAGTGTGTATCGTTGTTGTCTTTTAAAGCCCGGTTCCAAGAGAAGAAACCGAAGGGCGAACATTCCCCAGGAATAGTTTTTATTCTCCCCCCGCCGCCCCCGCCGCTTTATTGGCATATCCTTTCAATTACAGGATGAAAGTTGCTCGTTAAAGGGATACACTCCTGGAATGCGGCGGACGGAACGCCTGCGCGGCTCGGGCTCGCTCCATGCGGCGCTTCGCGCAGCAGATGGCAGTGTTGCTCCACGCATCGCGCGGCCGCCGCGCAGCCCCCGGGCCGCCTTTGTTGCGGCCGCGCCGCCGCCCCCGCCGAGGAGCCGCGGAGCCCCGGCGGGGGGCTCCCGCGCGGGTCTCGTCCCACGGCCCGCTCGCCGCGCGCGGCTCCCGGGGGCGGCCCCGGCCGGGCCCGCTTGCGCGCACGGGGAGCTGGTGCCAGCGCGGCCCGCCCGGGGAAGATGGTGGCGCGTCGCGGGGCCCGGTTCGCGTGGCTCTCGCCGGTTTCGCCGCGCGCCGCTCGCTCGGGCTCAGGCCAAAGGCCCGGCCAAAGGCTGCAGCGCCCGCCTGCTCGGAGGTGCCCCGCGCCTGCCGCCAGCCCTCCTCCTCCTCCTCCTCCTCCTCCCGCGGCTTTCCTGAGAAAAGAGGGCGTTTTCTGCGCTCCGGGCTCCTCGGTGAGCAAAGAGGACGAGAGCGGGCGAGCCCTTTGCGGGGGTGATTCAGCAGCCCGCTTCCAAAGCTCGCTCAACGTTTGTAGCAAGAGGCAACGGTGGGCGCCGTCCCTTTACTCTGGAGTCGTCCCGGAGACCTCAACAGGAGTAAGTGGTTTTAGGACCGCAGCTGTCGCTCTGTTTCCCTTCCCCACCCGCACCCCAAGTAGTGAGGGGAAGAGTGAGTTTAGCATCCCGTAAATTGTGCGCAAGACCGTTCCTTTGGCTTCAGTGGCGCTTCTTTCACGTAATTGTGACGAAGATCGGGATGGTGAAAGAAAAACGTAGAAAACGGGGAGTTCTGGATAAAAGAGAAGGTGAGGGCCAGGCGGCCATAAAACCAACTCTACGTGAGGGCTGGGCTCCTCCGCCCTTGGAAGATTTATTTTGTTGAAAGTTGGAGATTTAGAATGAAAAGAAAGAGCGGCAAAAGGGAATTCGACCGGGGGTGGGGGACTCTTTGTTGCTTTTCGCTTTCACTACCGCCGTTTCCCCTTAGTACCAGCACCACTTCGTATTGCCGTGTGATATGGACACGATCCGCCTAAATCCTACGGATTTCACTGCTTGTCTTCACAGCGCTTCACCAGGGCTCCCTCTGTCTTCGATTGCTTTCCATGGTTGTAATATTTGGCATAATAGATTTGCAGCAAACTACAATAAAACCTAGTTATAAGAATGATTCTTGGGTGCATTTTTTCTCTTTGTGTATTTCAGGAAAAAAACAGGCCGAGTTATGTGCTTACCTTTCTACACTGCCAGCATTATTGTCCATGGCGGCAAACCTAGAATCCTCGTAGATATTTGCTTTTACATCGAGAACCAGGTTGCAGGGAGAGAAGGAAGAGGGGGCACATGAAAGTGCCCAGGGTCAGAAAGTGCCTTTTCCACCCCCAGCCCCAAATATTCTGATGGCATCCATTCCAGCCACCCGAACATCAGCAGAGCAGCAAACGTTCCGAGCCACAGGGAGGAAAGAATAGAAAACATCCTGGAGACCGTAGTGGATTGCCTGAAATTCAGGACCGGGGAACCTGAAAAGTATTTCTCAGCTTCCACTGTGATCCGAGTCATCTACATATCAGTATATTTTAAAAACTGAAAGAAAAATCGTTCCTCCTTCAAAACAGGCTGTTTACTTCTGTGCTGGACTCCATAGGAACTTTTAACTTCATGTATGCATTACTTTCTGTGGCTTTCGAAGCCCTCCTTCAGTTAAAAATAGACTTTACGAAGATGGCTCTCACACATACAGAACTTTACACGCAGAGGGCACTTAATTCCACTCTTGTTCTTCAAAATAAATGCTTTATTCTGACTTATTTGGAAATAATATGTCCAAGGTGCGTGTGAGTGTGTGTGTGTGTAAACTTATCTCCTGCTGAGGTTAAGCTTTTTGTCAGAGATCAAAGTAAAAGAGAAAAGTTAACAGATAAACAAGAATTTACATGAGGAGTGAGAAACTATTTTGGACAAAAAGAATGCATGTGAGCAACCGAAGTACTTCTGTACGACTGATTTGAAGGGCAGAGACTGCTGCTTGGCGCTTATGCACTGTCTCGAGGGAGTTTACCCCCCAATCTTGTATGCGAAGAATTACAGCCAAAAGCATTAGTTGGCCTGTTTGCATCAGCCGCATCTGCCTTCCTTGGATCTGGCCTTGTGCGCTTTCTTCAGCAGAAAGGGCAGGCCGTGAGCTAAGATCAGTGCAGATCATGATAATACCGTTCTAAGCAAAAGAAAAAACAAGGAAGCTTTTCCCTAAGTTGCGGAGAACCAGAGCAAAAGCCTGCTCTAGGGCCCCTGGTCCAAGCAGTGACTAGAGACGCGAAGCGAAAGAACTAGCTGGGATTCTGTTCGGTTGCACAAAAGGCACCACCAATCATATCGAGTACACACACGTTAGGTTTTCTTAGGAACAGGGGGACAGACTTTCAAATGAGCATGTAAGGCACTGCATAACGTCTACTCAGAAATAAATCCTGCTGTGTGAAGTGGGGTGCACGCACGCACGCACGCACACATGCGCCCGGAGCACGGATGCCTTGAGCACAATCATTTACTTCTCTGTTCAGAAGTACCTCCCAGTGATTTCAATGGGGTTTAATCCTAGTGTGTGGGGACAAGATTGCTGCATTAGGGTAGAATCCAACGACAGCTTTAGGAAGAGTATACCCCCTGAAGTGCATTGAGCTTAAATTAGCAATGCCTAACTTTAATCCCATTCGTTTCAATGGGTCTACTCTACACAAGACAAACGCTGGGTTTTTTGAGTCGGCTACAGCAAAGCGACCTTGCTACCCACCTGGAACAGGGCTGTTGCCAGCGTCTCCAATAGCCCATGGATGCTTAACTTCTTTCTTAATAAGTAAAATTAGAGGATGCAGAATAAAACACCGAACTCCTGGGACTGGTTGAAGTGGGACCTTTTTGGCATTTATTGCTTCTTTCACTAACACCCGTTTCGTTTAGTCACAAAAGGCTATCGAGCAGATTCACGCCGTTGGCCAGAAGCGGTTTTTTTATCCCTTTCTTCCCGCCTGCCCCCTCCCAAAGCCAGGACACGTTAATGAAAGCATTTGTGATTCTGGCGGAGACAAAAGAGTAACAGGGCATCCAAAACTTATATAAAAATACATCAATTTATACACACGCTTATACCACTAAACATATAGGCACAGTTGGCTTGAAACCCCTGCAACTTGCCAGGCTACCGTGGTTTTTCCTATGCCGCTGATAAGCTTAGCATGACACGTCCCGGAACTCAGTACAACAATAATGAAAGAAACTTGTGTATGCACCCAAGTGTGAAGCTTCTGCTGCCTACCAGGTGTGACACAATATCGATCCCCCCCCCATGTGCTTGGATGCACAGTCCAGCCAAAATGAAGTCCTGGTCAACTCTGTTGTTTGCAGCAGAGTCCAGCAAGCTCCCACTTGCAAGCCGATGCAGAATTGTTTGGGAGCAAGTGACAACTGAAATCAGCGGAATCCATTTGCCAGTAATTATGCATGGTATGCCAGCAACACAGAGTTAGCTTTTTGGCCAGTTCATGCTTTTAATTGCTACTGCAGAGGAATTAATCTCTTAAACTGTATATGAAACAGCACAAAACTAATTTTTAGAGCAAATTGTTAATGCTATTTCAGACTGAAATGGGCTGCCCGCATTCCACATTTTGATGCTTGTGGAATGCAGACAGCCTGATTCCAATCTGGAATAACATTAAAAATGGTTTTTCAAAGTTGGTTGTAAGTAGGCAAAACCCAATTTGAAACAGATTTAAATCAGAGCAAGAAGTACTTATTTCTAAAGCGTTTGCTTCTAACTGTGCAACCTTGCTCAAGTCTACTCAAAAGTAAGTCTCAGTGAGTTTGCTGTGACTTACTTCCAATTAAGTGTATAAAATTGAAGTTGCATTTTATATTCACTTAACTGGGAGTGAACCCTAGTGAACTCCATAGGATTTACTTCTGAGTAGACATTTATAGGATTGCGGAAACTGGAACCACTAACTCAGAGTTAGTTTAAGTGGAATCCATTTTGAAGGAGATTGAGGGAGAAGTGGAGTTATTTTCAAAATATTTCACATTAAGAAAAGCTTATGGAGTATGAGTTTTGCTGCAATCTGCGAGTTCATTTATCTGGGCAATCAGTAGCCTTCACAGCTACATTGTACAAATTATTGTCTTCAGATTCTTTATCAAATTCAGCAATTTGTGTGTGTGTAAAATCCAAGTTTGTTTTAGCACCTTTGTTCTCAGTATTGTTTATAGTTTTAAGGCGTTCCTGACTACTAATTAACAGCTGCACAGTATATAGGCCTGGTGGGGGGAAACAGAACCTACAAAAATACAAGGAAAAAGATATTAAAAAAAAGAAAGAAAGAAGTTAAAACCTGCAGCATTCCATTAAATCCAAGAAGACATGGCGAACCCTTGCCTTGCTAAAAGCGTTTCACAAAATTTTGCTCCTTACTAAAAGGGTGAGGGGATGTATTAAATATCTTTCAAGTCTTTCCAAAAGTCTTTTGGGCCAATAGTGGATTGCTTGCAACAGATGTATATTCCCAGTTTGGGTCCGGATCAGGAGACATTGTCCTTCAGCTTGGAGACTATTTTCTTGTCTTTGACTCTGCGGTTCTGAAACCAAATAGTAACTTGTCTCTCTGAGAGGTTTGTGGCTGCAGATATCCTGCGCCTCTTGTCCTTGTTGATAAATTTGTTAATGGCGTATTCACTCTCCAGTTCCTTCAGCTGCAGTTTTGTGTAAGGCACTCGCTTCTTTCTCCCACGCCGGTAGACACACATGTCTGGCTGGTTTAGTGCAACGTCCCCTACAGCGAAAGACACGAGGTGGCAAGTTAGCATTGGCCGAGACAGTGCAGGTTAACTTGTGGCCACGACTGGGGCCCTCTGGGACAAGCAGCATCGATTCTGTGCCGGCTTGGTACAATGCCTGCATGTTGCTTTATGTGTTACTGTTCTATACCGCCCAATCGCCAATGCTCTCTGAGCAGTTTGCAAAACGCCGGCAAGTAGGAGGATATTCACACTAACCCTTTGCATAATAGTTAAAGGAAACACGGCAGTAATCCTATACATACTTACCTGGAATTCAGGGCCATTGAATTCTATGGGGCTTACTTCTGAGTAGACGAGCCTACGCTTGCATGTCCGTAAATGAAATCAGTGTAAATCCTGCAGCTCGGCTCCTGGGTCACATTTATGGGGGAGTACCCCAGGGGTGATTTGCATGCAGTTTTGGGGTAAGCGACATGGGAAACTCAGGGGTACGAGTGCCGTGGGGTGGCTTTGCAAGGGCAAACAATAACAACATGCTCCCGACAAGCCTTGCAGAGGCCTCTTTTCATTAAGGCCGGCAACCTGATCCTCAGCGCCTTTCCTCTGAAGTTTATGTCCCGCCAACTGCTTCCCAGAGACATAATCTGAACGGAAAGCAGGCAGTGGCGCCCTTGCTAGGGATGTTTTCCGGGAAGCGAGCCACTTCCCTCCCACCAATAACTTTGCAGGAAACAGGCCCGGGATGGGGCCGAGATCCCTGGGTTCACCCGAGGGTGCAAGTGGACGGATCTAGGGCTTTTCACGGAAGCAAAGCTGAAGAATGCCTCTCGAGGACAGGGCACTTGTGCTTACGGAAGGAAGCCTTATTCTGGGATGGAGTGGAGGCGGGAGGGAACCCTCAGGAAGTCAAGACCCACAGAATTCCATGGAGCGTCTCTACCAAGTCGATGGTCAAGCTCAGAAGTAAGATCCACTGAGTTCAGGAGAACTTACCGCCTGCTTAGTTAGCACCACTTTAGGACTGCAACCGAAGAGAGAAACACAAAGCACTCTCACTTGGAAGCAGAATGTTCTTTTACAGGCAACTGGGGCGGCGTGAAGGCCTGCAAGATAAGGGTGTTGGGGACCAGCGTCTCAAGAGCAGTGACGTGACAGCGGGCCCCACGGCGCTTCCTCTCGCCCAGAGCACTTGAGGGGCTGGGTGTCTTATTCCGAAGAGGGGGCAGAGCGGTGCAAAGCACAGCAGCCCTGTCTCTGCATCCGGGCAGGTCAGAGACGTGCGTGCCTAGCCAGCTACAGGGAATCCCCTCCCTCGCCTCCCCTCCCTCGCCTCCCCTCCTTGTGGCTCAGGTGGGCAGCTCCTTCACCCAGAAGTCCACGTCCTGTCCAGGTGACCTCCTCCTCCTCCTCCTCCTCCTCCTCCGTCTGGCGCGGCGGTGCGTACCTGGGAAGGACGACTTCCAGAAGTGGGAGCCCTGGGCCTGGTCTTTGGCGCAGTACACCTGGCCGTTCCACCCGTTGGCCAGCGTCCACGACTGGTAGCCCTCCATGGAGATGTAGGTCTCGTGCCGGGGCTCGCCCGCCGCGGCCGCCGCGGCCGCCGAGCCGAAGGTGGAGACCACGTCCAGGTAGCCGGCCGGCACGTGCTGGTACGGGCCGGCGGCCGCGGCGTAGCCCTGGTAGAAGGAGACCTCCTTGGCGCGCGAGGAGACGTCGCTGCCCGACGGCACGCTGGTGCTGGCCAGGCTGGCCACGTCCATGTACTTCTCCACGGGGAAGGCGGCGTGCGGCGAGGCCTTGAGCGCCGCGTTCTGCTGCAGCCCCACGCCGTGCGCCATGCGGCAGCTGTAGTAGCCGTTGCCGAAGGGGTGGTAGCCCGGGTGGTAGCCCAGCGCGGCGGCCGCGGCGGCGGCGGCGGTGGCCGAGGGCGGCGCCGTCGGGGGCCCGCCGCCGCCGCCGCTGGAGCAGTCCTTGGAGGGCGCCGCCTCC